GCCGATGATGCAGGTGACCTCCTGAAAGGGCCGATGACCTGGCGGCTCGCCAGGACTTGAAGTTCTCCACGAGCAGCAGCTCCAAACGGCCCATGGCTGCGGGCCTCCGGCGCTCCGCGGCGTCCTCACACGCGGGGCGGGAAAAGCGCGAGGAAAGCCTTCACAGCATCTCGCGAGAGGAGAGCGAGAACACCGGCGAGTGCCGCCGTTCCTTAGCAACCGGGCTGTTTACGTTGCCAAGGAAACGCGGTCGCAGGAGGCTGTGTGAGAAGCCTGGGGAGCAGGCTCATACCCCGCCGGCTCACCTAGGGAGCCAGCCTCTATGGATCGGTCGGGCTGCAGTTTGATTTTTTGTGGTCTTCTCTTTTTAACTCGTGCGTTTTAAAGGCTCTCAGAGCTTCTTGAGGATTCCCGGTCATGGATATAGTGCAGCCCAACGACCTGGAACAGTCCTTTTGCGTGGCCAGGAGGAGACATGCGGAGCTGTGCAGGCAGAACCAGATCTTCAACGCCAGGAACAGGATCCTGGGGGTAGGACGCTCGCTTGTCCCCACAGGGAAAGGGGCCCGGAGGGAACGTGGCGGGGCAGGTGGGAGCAAGAGGTAGGCGAGGGAGAGAGGAAGAGATGAATCCCTCAAGTGAAACTTGATCCAGGCACAGCTGCAGATGGCAGCAGGCTGAGGATATATTGACTTTGCTGAGGATGAGAGAAACCTTAACAGAACAATTATACTCCCTCCCACTTGCCAGACAGGCAAATGGAGTCCTGCAGTGGGAGGGAGCCGCCCGGAGTTTGTGGCCAAGGAGAGACTAGAATGGGGCTCTCCTCTCTCTGTACCAGATTTTCTACATTGTCAGGGGTTCCTTCCAGTCCGTCCATTTGACAAAATTCCTATTTTGTGGCAAGCCTGAACTGGGCCCAGGGGATGAGGAATAAGGCAGTTCTTGACCTTCAGGGTTTATGGCCCAGTGGAGGAGGCAGACATTAAAATGGTCACATTAAAATGTAGTGAAGGAGGGGAACGCAGACTGGGGCTGGAAGAGGGAATCAGAGAGGGCTTCCCAGAGGAGGTGATGCCTAAGCAGTGTTGTGAGGATGAGTATCTGTAAACTAAGGTAAGGTGGAAGGAAGCTCTGAGGGAAGTTAAGAGGACAGGTTGAAGAACCAACTATAAGCAAAGGCATTCAGGTGTGAAAAGACCTGGTGTGAAACTAAGACAGTGGGGCGAGGATAAAGAGGTAAGTAGGATTGTTAATAACGGGATACATTTATCTGGTTTTAACTCCTCTCCCCTCGTTTTCCATTCCAGGGAGATACAAAAACCTGGGATATTCAGGTGTGTGACCGGAAGATAAAAGAAGCAACTGAGAAAGCCAGGCATGAAACGTTTGGTGAGCGTTTCCTAAATGTCTGTCTAGCAGGGTAGGGCTGCATGCCTTCGACGCCAGCCCTCATTCTTCACCTGTGTGAAAGCTGGTCCTTTTTACTCTCTTCCTCCTTTTAAAATTTCACAGTTGCTTGTGCTCAACTTAATGCACTGATTCTTCCTCTGTTAAAAGAAAAACAGCTATTGAATCCTGTGTGTGTTCTAAAAAAATACATTTTGAGGATAAATGTGTTTTCCAAAAAAACACACCAACTGGATATGAAAAACCTTAAACACACACACACTCTCCCGAAAGTTCAAGACCTTCTGCCGGGGACAGCCCTTTACACTAGATGACACACTCAGACTCCCAGCTCGCGCCCCCAAGCTGAATCAGAACTAGACATAGTTCAAATGATAGTGTTCTAGCTTTTAGATAAAAGTTTCAAGCAGCATTCTCATCATGTGCAACACTTTCAGTTTATTTTATTAAAGCATTCTAAGAATTTTTAAAATAGGAAGAGGAGGGGGCCCCATATTCTTACAGAACTCCCATATGTACATATGTAATAAATTTGGTTATTTTTTCCTGTTTAAAAAAAATGAAAAAAAACAGGGTACAAAATTTTACATACAATGGGTACTCGATTACGTTTTTAAATATATGAAAGATATGCTTAGAAAAAGAAAGTAAATAGACCAAATGTTGTAATGTGGTAATGTTGGAGTGATTAAATTAAGAGTAAAGTTTATTTTCTTTATACAGTTCTATGTTTTTTAATGTTTTCCCTTTTTATATTTTTAGTTTAAAAAATAAGTCAAACTTACAAAAATGATGTGACACATACATATGCACCCCACCACTAGATTAGATGTTACCCTTTTTGCCAAATGGGCTTTAGATATATTTTAAGAATGATTTTTGAAAATATATGTATATTCCCCACCATGTCATCCTTTTCTTCCTTCCGTCTTCAGACGTGGCGCACCATTCCCATGGCTGTTT